GCTGGCATCAACTCCCCCCCCTCCTTGTACGTCCGAGGGTTAACACTAATATATTCTATTTCGCTTTTTTTCCTGTAACTACCTCATTGTCACGCACTATTTTATTAAATACTATAAATAAGTTCTATATCTCTCAGATAGTCGCAGGCCAAAGGTATACACATCAGCCGCTGAAGTGTAGAAAAATGCTAACCTTATAATTTCATCGCCCAGAAATTTCCACAGCCGAATGGTTTTGTCTGCTGAGGCGGATGCCATCATTGAACCATCAGGAGAGAGCCGCACACACGTAACAGCTCCCTGATGGTCTTCAAGTTGGGCGAGCAGCTCCCCGGTTTGACTGTCCCAAACTCGGACGGTCCCATCTGCTAATCCATGCGGACAACAAGGTCCTGTTATCTCTCGTGAAACATGTGGATAGAACGCTCTTGGAGTGTCCACTGAGTTCGAGCTCGAAGGCTTTGGGGACCTGAGGTTTGTTTATCCTTTCCACCCACCCCTCTGGGGCAGGGATGTTTGAAAGTTATTTTAGCGGACGTGAGAGAGCGGCCAAAATCGAGCCTAGTCATCGGGTCGCGCCACCGAAATAAATCACTTTCAAAGCACTGGGCAGGAAAATTATCATACATGTGCTTCTCCGAAGTTAAATTATGGAAATCGGATCTTCCCCTGCAGGAATGATTAACACAAAGCGACAAGACTTGTCTAGTTGTTTGAATACATTCTAACCCGCTCGAAAGTCGTTTCTCGGAAATTACAGCACGGATCGAAGCGAAAAACATCTCTTTCAAAAGGTATTTCAAAGCGCAGGACAGCTAAAATATTTGTTACCCGTTTGTTAGAACTTTTGCAAGTTTTTGCAAATTTATTTTGAAAGTGCCGTGTAATATATATTTACCAAGGTTTACAGGTCCACGGCAAAAAAAAAAAAAGAAAAAAAAAGCTGCTTCTCTGGAATTAACTACCGCACCGTTTGGATTGAGAGAGGTCTCTTTGGAAAGCATTTTGAAAGCGTTGGGCAGGAAAATTATCTTCTATGTGCTTATCACAAATCTGCTTCGAAAATAAGTGTTGTCATTAATTTTTCTGCGTGACTGGTTCACATGAGATGCCATAAGGCTGCTGACAGGAATTGTATTGTATAAACAAGCTCGAAAGTTCGGGGTGGGGGAGGGTTGGAGGGGGGGGGGGGNTAAGAAATTACAAATCTGAATTGTCTGGGCATCATTGATGATAAACTTTACACGTCGCTTAGAATGTAAGTACCCAATAGATTGAAGTACTCACTAGAGATATCATTCATATTTAAGATTGCAGAAGGTGTTGTAAACGTTAACCGCTAGGTAATATCTTTTTTTTATTATTTTTTGGCAAAAGAATTTTCCTACCTTCAAGTTAACGAAATTTCTGGCGGCCTTATCCTTTCCATTAATGTGATCAAACCTGCGGTCAATAATGAGAGAACGCTGACTGGCCTCCGGATCCAACACGACGGCTGTTTCTACCTCGCTCTGAGTGACAGATACCGTGTACTTCTGCTTTTCATTCTCCTCCAGATCGGCCTTCTCTGCCGCTGATCGCAGCAGAGTCCATATACACTTCTCTACTTTACCCCAGTCCTCCCAAGCCTTAGAGATCTCGTCTTTATCGGCTGATTTGATGCCGGGAAACTGGCTCGAGATCGGCTGCAGGAGATAGCACGGCGGAACGGAGTTATCGTCGCGGAGATACCAAGCGGTAATTAACTCACGGTCTGATTGGTCAATCAACTGGAGAAGAGATTCAAACTCGTCAGCGCTGACTGACGGGGGCAGCGGTCTCCAACCGTATTTGTCTCCTAATATGGCAATGAAAGCGATACCAAGTGAAGTTTCCTGGCAACGTTTTATCTCTTCCATACAAATGTTCACAACTCGATGATCGTCCACTGATTCTTGACGCACACCTAGAAGAGAAAGTGTAGCAGCACACGTGAGCTTGCAATGTAGTATTCAGCTCTTATTGCTTTTTGACTGGGGCATTGTTTATGTTGTTTCCATTATTGTTCTCTTAAAGGGTATCGAACAATTCATATGAGACCCAGCGAGAGCGGCCAACAACCCTCTAGAAGAGAAAATTGTTGATATAAAAGCTCTTTTATCATAGAATTCGCAAAAATTACACTTATGAATTGATAACATATTGTTTTTAACAAGGCTAAGTGAGAGAACGAAACTGTAACAATCATGTAATGACAGCTACAATCCAGTTAAATTAAAGAGAACATCAAAAGAATATAAAATTACTGGTAATAGGATTGCGAGCGTTTGGAAAGGGTAAAGTAGACTTTCATCTTTGATACTCCCGCATTTTTGAAACTCTAGATAAATCGCTAACAGGAAAAAATACATATATATTCAAGTATTTTGCATGCGCAAAGTGAGAACTCCGTTGGATTGTCTCCGGTCACACCGCAGAATTGTCGTATTTTGACGTAATTAAAAAAAATAAATAAATGAAAAAAATAAAAAAATGAAAAAAATAAGAATTGTATGCCAGGGGGTAACGCTTACCCCCTACCAAACATTTCTTTGTAAAATTTGCAATTATGGGGTCTCATATTTTCCCATATGTTGAGATTTCAGTTATTTCTTTGAAGCTTCGCATATCTAATACATTTAGCATTATAGTTTATTTTTTTAATTAGAAATACGAAAAACTGTTGATACTTCGTGATATGGTCGAAAAGGTCTATTAGTTTTTTTTTATTAGAGATTTTTATTAGAGATAAAAATTTGAAACCAAGCACGCCATCGATGCTATTAGCAGATTTTGCATTCGTACCCCAGCGCAAGTCCACAACCTCAAATGCAATTCCGTGCTGCTGACAAAGATCTCTGATGGGCTCAAACACTTCTTCCATAAGCTTGTTTCTGTCCACTCGCGTGTCGGTAAAAGTTGAACTCAGAAATATACGAATTGTCTTCTGCACCAGCCTAGGATCCATGATGTCCGGGAGAAACTCTGTTGTGCCTGGGGCCTACCGATGGGAGAAAATTATAAATTTCTTAGAAAAAATAGTGCGAATGGTCTAGTTTAAAACCACATCAGTTAATGTTACAAGCAAAACGTCTTTGAATCGTTCGAACGAGGAAAAAAAAAAAAAAATTAGTCGAAACGGAAATAAACAATTTCAAGTGACGTGACATAGCATTTATTTCAATCAGGATTTTTACCATAAAATTTCACTTATAAACTGGAAAAATTCCATTTTACAAGTTTTTACGTCAAGTGACGTTGGTCAAGGGAAAATTGAAAATATTCCATAATTCCCTTATGCTGACACTAAGTCATAGAATTATTCTTGACCTGTATATTGCCTGCAATGCAAACGGAAATTTAACCCGGAAAAAAAGGTGTTTAGTCTTCGATGAAGGCTAACATCTATATTTTGCCCTCAAATATTATGTGTAAAATTATGCATGCCGTTTATATTTATTAAATATTTATAGCTGTGACTATGAAAATCTTTCTGAGACTTCTAAAGGCTCTGATTTTTCCAACTCACAAGGATTTTCAGGCAGAAACACAACCGAGAGCGGAAGGACATCAATACTTCAAGTATCTTCGCGGCCAACCTTCATTAGAAACATAACTTCTTCCGCGAAAGACAATTTGAAATAAGGAAGACAATTTGTTTTGATACACAAGTTTTGGCGATTCGAAGTGTCAAATAAATTAAAGGCATTTTACGTTTTTAGTGGAACACACGTGGTAGGTTGACATGCCTCCAGTTTCATTCACCCTACAGTTTGAATTTCACTCGGATGAAAATCTTTAATTGAATTCAATCAGTCTTCGTATTGTAAATATATTCACTTACGATAAGTATTGTGGACCTCTATAGCCCCTCGCTTTTTAATAATAACAATTAAATTCTACATGTTGCAAGGGAGGTTTGGAAGAAGCATTCAGTTTCATTCATTCCACGACGTAAATTCAGTTGATTCGAAGGGTGAGATTTTCACTTTCCGTCTTCTGCTCTTCCGTGTAGAATTCATTTATAGTTATCATCTTAAAGGGTATTCAGCCTCCATCCTCGAAAATTAAACTAGCTCACTTGTTAGTCTCTTTCTCATTTTCAAAGATTTTTGAGACTCGAGCGAGAGAAAATGATATACGACATGAATGTAAACAGCTTACCTCCATTTGTCCTCTTTGCTCCTCTGTCCTCGACAACACATCCGTGTGTCCGATGAGCAGGCCCCCCGCATCACTAGAATAGGTCAAAGTCAAAACCTTTTTTTAGCTTTGATGGACAACATAATACTGCCCCCCTTTGCAATAAATGCGGCTCGGATAACCCAAAGGCTCGGGCCTAGTCTGTTCTGGTTTGTCGGGCTAGTTCTTGCCCTTTTGGTTGACTATATTTTCAGGGGCCTGGAAACTAGAAGTTTTAGTCTCACTTGCGTGTGATCGCGCAAAATAGAGGAGCTCGCGATCTTTAGACATAACAGCTAAATTAGGCTTTTTCTTAGTCTTTCTGCAATTTTATATCGTTTATTGTGATAAACGTACCTAGACATAAAACAGTTCACGTAGTAATTACGTGTTAAGGATGTCTCATGTATGAAAAGTCCAACGACGAAGTGTTGATTTCCATACGTAATTGATGCCGGCGACAAAAAAGCATCAAGTAGGAACAATAATAATAATGATTACAATTAAAAATAATAATAATAATAATAATAATAATAAAATAATAATAATAATGATAAATCAATAAATATACAAGAACAGTTTTCGAAAAAATTCAACGAGGTTGAATCTGTATGATGCTAACACAAAATGAAACTTAAGGTAACACTTAAATTCATTTTAATGAATTAAGGTGGCTGGTACTTTTCCAGCAGCTATACTTTGACGGATGAATACTACTAATGTTCGGAAAATTTTAGGTGACTGGAGCCCCTAGGCAAATGTTATCATGCTTATCACAATTCGATAATAATAATAATAACAACAATAATAAGAATAATAATAGTAATAATAATAGTTTTCTTAAAATGCGAGTCAAGACAAATATGCCAAACAGTGTAGCCGTAAAGCGGAAAGTTCTGCTAAGTAATGCAAATGTTTTCATAGTTAGAGTATGCAATAGAACAAACACTGATTAATGTTTACAAACATGTTAACAGTAATCGTTAAAATCTATACAAAGTGTGATCTAAAGACGATTCAGCTGGACTTACCACATAAACATTTTATATTATATTCAGGTGAAAGAGTTTTAAGAGGAAACCACAACTTTGCATACCAAATAGATCTATTAAACATTACAAATTCAGGAAAAAAAAAAAACATTTTCTGCCAGTCCTGCTGGAAACTATGTGAAGCACGAGACTCTAAAATTGAGCTCTCTCGCAACTACTTCTAAAGACATGAATGTGCGCTAGGGTACAGCCTTGGAGCCGATGGGACGCCCATAACGGCGATAACTGTACAACAGTACGCAATTGAGTCGTAAATCAAAGCAAGAACAATTCACAAACAGGTTGAAGGTTTGATTTACACGATTTTAACTAATTTGCTGTCGTAAACGAGTCGCACTTTCGCTACATTCAGCAAAGTTTTACTTACTTAATCGACCTTTAATTATAAACATCTCAGTCAAATCCCTTAAACTTAATGGTCCTAAGCCAATTTTCGACTTCGTGCGAACAACCATGTTGTAACAGAGACGCATGAATGATTTCCTTTCTGACGTCGTGTTTTTCGTTTGATTCTAGTACAACTTACCTTGTTTCTTTCTTCCCTCCTTCTCCAAAAGTGTTTGAAATTGTGATACCACTTTTGCTGGTTGTGCAACCCATATTTAGACCGTAGCGACGCTGTTTAATATGGTTGTCGTATGGTTATCGGGCAACGAGCATCCATTCAAACAAAAATAAAACACCTTGAACAAAAGCGGTAATTTTCTGGACTGTAAGACAGCTGTCCCGGATGACAAAAACAATATATAATTATACCAAATTACTCAAGCGAAAGAAACCGCCATTGAAAAGAAACAAGAGAGAACAAATCGGGTGCTTTCAAGAAGCCTACTAACCTTGTCTATGTCAACATTATTTCGAGAAGTATATTTTACGTCTCCAACAGGCAAGTAAATAATTTAGTGTGATCGCCTTAGGTGAGAGTATATAGTACTACTCATAATAACAACCGATTGTCAATCTGCTGGACCTTCGTCTGTTGTCTTGGCCTCAATTTGTCTAATCTGGAAAAACCAGCCATAAGCCTTTGTCATTTTTCAGCAGCAAAAATAAAATAAATAGACAGGGTCTTTATAGGTCTTTATATTATTTCGCATGCGATTCCTTAGGGCTACGCTAAATAGTGTATAGAACCAGCGGCCGTCAAAATGCCCCTTCCTTTTCTTCGCTCTCGTCGGATCAATTCGCTCACCGACTCCCCTTCCCACCCGTCCACCCCTCCCCCCTCCCCCACGACGGGAGCCTGTTCGCAGGCTACCGATGCTAGGAAAGATACAAACAGTATCAAAAAAGGCTATAAGTATATATGCGCCTGCTACTTTATTTACTTATTTTTATTTCATTTCGTTTTATATTCTACACATTTTACTTTATTGTGGGGAACCAAAGGTTAAGCTTCGTTATCTAGCTTAACCAGTTCCCTTCTTGGCTTAGAGTTTGCCTTGCCCTCAGTATCTCTTCATTCACTCTGCGGAATTCCTCGATCTCTCTGGCTCGATGTTCTTGCAGATTCCGTTCTTGTTCATCTATGGTGGCTTGTAGTTGGCCGAGCGCGTTTTCGAAGTTTTCTCTTTGTCTTTGCCTCTCTTCGCGTATTCTCTCTGTCGTGAGTCGGAGTTGAGCATCTCTTAGCGACGAAACTGTTTGCATTAATGCAGTTTGTTCTTCTGTTGTCAGGTTCCCAACTTCCTGGCGGTACTGAAAATGGGTGGCAATGTTAGTTTGTTGTGTATAGAATACGACGCATTTTGCCTCAGAAGTCGTATAATTTTTGGAAGACAAATGCACGAACAATTTTTAAAGGCTAACAAGTACTACAAAACAACATCAATAATATTGGACTGGATCCGGAAAAAATTACAGTTCTCATTCAATGATTTCGAGGGAAAAGAGGGAAGGTGACGACGCCAACATTAACCGTTTTATAGCATGCTGCCAAAGTTTATCTGGGAAATTTTTTGCCATGAAGATTATTGTAGTCGGAAGTTGATGTGCTTTCTTCATTTTCTGTATTTGCATTAGGTTTTAAAGCTTGTTCTACTCCTATGTTGGCTTTGGAGGAAGAAAGACAAGTCAGTAATGAGTCACACTTCAGATGTCCGCCGTCTTAGATCCGCCATCTTGGATCATCTTGGATTTAAAAAATTTCCCAAAAATAGCAGATCGTCTCCAAACTGATTCGAAAAATACAATAAATGAAAAATTTTCAAATAATCCAAAATCTCTCAACTAACTCGACATTTTAGCTGAAAAGATAATCACCAAATTTCGGTGAAACACTTTTTGAAAATGTGATTGACAGAGAAAGGACATAACACGTGACCAAAAAATTGACACTTCAATAAACTGTTTAGTACGGGCGTCTTCGCCTTCCTCCTATTTTTGTGAAGTTTATCACACCTTTTAAAATTAGCAGAATTTTCCTTTCATTATTTGTGGAGGGTAAAAGTTTTGGGGATAGCGAGTCATTAAACTCGGTTAATTTAAACGAGTACCGCATGTTGGCCGATGTATCTTAAAAAAAAAAAAAAAAAAATAGTGCTCTAATATATGGAGAGAAGTATATATAAAAACATATTTCAGGGTTCATGTTTACCCAAACAGGGTGATCTATTGCCTTTGTGTAGATTTGTGATAAGAGTCTAAAGCAAATATCAGACCATAAATCTTTCTATCTCTAATTCGATTGTTTCGTATTTAAAACCGGTGCATCACTTTTTCGGGTCGATCCTATCGGAGAGTTTTTACTTCCGGCGGGTCGCTACGTACATTAGGGATTTTCCAACAATGTATTTAACAATTAAGTTTTAACACTAATTTCGAGGAGATTACTTTGAGGGGTCGTCACTATAGGAACTTTCAGTCCGGCCGAGCTGAATTATAACTAAGTACATTGAACGTTTTTCACAAAAAGTTATCTGTTGCTGAAAACGGTAAAACACTTTTCTTTTATTGCGTGAACGTTTAAAGCCCTTCAATAGAATGTTGAGTGGTTAAAAAGACGACTCGACTGAGACCTCGAGCTACTGTAATTCTTTTAATTCCATAAAACGGTGAAACATTAGAATGAAAAGGTCAAGACCTCAGTCGAATCGACTATTTGACTTCTTTTTTAATCAACTTCCTGAAACACACCTCTGTCAAATTCAGATTCAAGTTTCTCAAGCCGTTTTTCAGTTCAGTGCTCTCCTGCACCAGCTGCTCGATTGTTTCCAAATCACTTTTTGAGTGGAGCTTGACTTGTGGCTTGACAGCAACTTTTCTGTGATGCACAGGCGGGACAGCCAAGACTACGAAGATGAGAAAGCAAACGAGATTGTATATTAATCAAATAATCGCCCTGTTAAGTTTGAGATTTGTTAGTTTTCTAGTTACGAAGTCAAAAATTGCTCATGTTGTGTGATCATTACCATTGATCCCAATGAATAGCAATAAAAAGGCAGCTTGACACAGCATCACTTTCTCAAGTAGTAGTCTATTGAGAAAGAATCAGGTTTAGTAACAATCTTTTCTTACTTAAAGGTTACGCTACTCGCTCACTCGCTCAATCACTTACTTGTATAATTTCGCGCTGGTAACTGAAAGTGTTTAACAAGTAGAACGGAGTGAGACGTCCCAACAAAATTATACTTTGTTAAATTGAGCCCGATTAATATTTATTTCGGCTATATTACTATGGGTACGTACAGATAAGTTCAAAGAAAGGTCAGCCACATAATTTCAAAATGATTACCGACACCTGCAAATTTGTATACGAGCACCACGCTGGTGGTGACCTTAGTCAGACGTACATAGGGAGGGGTGTGGTGGATGCTATCCCGACCCCGTCAGCGGTTTTGTCACAATTTAGTGAAGATGATTTACTCCGCAATACCTATTCCCTCGCCGAGATTTTAATGTCTCACCCGTCTCTCCGTATCATTTGGCATTGCCATGGCAATTTCGTTTTGAAATTTGTTATGTTGACCCATCCAAATGTCGTCTTTCTCCACATAATTCTTCGTCTTTTCAGTTTTTATTAGTAACTATTTGGAATTAGCATCTTTCTTCATATATTTCGTTCTTCATTTTGGGTTAGTTTCCGATTAGTTCAGGTTAGTTGTTTGAATTACTGAGAAAAATAGTCACATCCAAGATGGCGGGCCGGGGGTATGTTCACATGCACTTCCGAGGGATTAATTGTCTGAGGTGTAAGGTATAAGCCCCTCTAAGGGTGGGGGGACTCCCATATAAAAAGGACGTGCTCCTCGTACCTTCATAAAAGTGGTTTTGGCCGATTATATTTACCGTTTCGTTTGTAATGAACAACTTATATTAAACTGGACAGAGATTTATGATAATGCTTTTGCAAAATTTACGAGCAGAAGGTGTTCGAAGCAACCGTGTTCGTCACTATTAAAAATTATGAAAGTGTCATTTTGTGTATTGTTTTAAAATTGGTACCTCTTAATTTCAAGACACGCACACAAAACAGGAAATTAGTACCTCTTAGGGTTCTTTTCAAAATTTTGGACAAGCATCCCCGTCCTTTTTATATGGGCCATAAGCTTTAAGCTATAAGCAGTTCCCAGCACCAAAGGAAGAAGCAAATAAATAATGTTCCTGTTTAAAAACAGCAATGGATCAGTTTTCAACCGTCACTGCTTCACGTTAATATTGTTGAATATATATTTCGCAAGCTAACAGTTGATCTGAATTCTCAGATATATGGAGTTAGACCTAATGAGCGTTAGTACAGAAATACAAATCTGAAAGTTCTTTTGAAGCTCGCATTACTAATTAATTTGTCACTGGAATAGTCTCGATGCGAGATATCTGGAGATCGTGCTCTTAATGCACACGTTCTCCTTGAGAGAGCCACATATTTAAGGTACAGTCTGCATTGGCCAAGTGGCCAATCAGGTTGGAGCTTATCTCGGTTTCTGTAGCATGAAGCGACTAGGAGTATTTTTACTCCCCGCTGGATCGGATGCTGGTCCATCGCAGGGTTACCCTTAACATTAGATTTGCTGTCAGCCACTATTGTATTTGGGTGGAGAGAAGAACTGTGAGTGTTAAGTGCCTTGCCCAAGAGCACAACACAATGCCCCCAGACAGGGCTCGAGCCCGGACTGCTCGATCCAGTATCCAATATCTATTTGGCGAACAGGAAACGATATTATAACATAGCGCGCGCTAGTCCTATCTAATTCCTATTGGGCCATCATGAACGAAATCTCTATGTATGCACGGCCGTGCGTATATAAGATGACGTGTGCAGTTTCAATTTAGCTGCAAAATTTCCGTCGAGTTTAGTGCAAGTTCCTTTTGTTTAAGTTTCGGCAAAGTGAAGATTATTCTGACCAATCCAAACTCTACTTCGAACCTTTGACTTTTCGGCAAGTTAAGATATTTACTTAAACCTGAGTATTTTGACTTTGTTTGTCTACATTTTCATTGAGTAGTTTTGACTTTGTTTGTCTACATTTTCATTATAATTATAATTAATTCGAGGAAGCGAATTTTTCGTTGACAATTTTAGAAACCAGGTTAAGCGTTTTCGTTCAACCGTTGCTCAACTGATTGTGGCGTGTTAGGATCCTAATGACCTTTGTTTTCCTTCACCGTGCGTTGTGAGAACTTTGTAGTCAATCATAAATAAAACATGTTTTAGCGCCCAAGTTGTTGTCATCATATTATAAAAGAATTGGTTCGTGCTTTTAGTTGTGCTTATATCGAGTTATGGATGCACCTGGGAGGTTTGAAGAGCACTCAATAAGCTAAAGTTGCTCTCGGCTATCGTCTCGAGCAACTCTTATGCTTCTTTCGTGCTCTCCAAACTTCCCGCGTGCATCCATAACTCGATAGGCACACGCTAAGCATGAACCAATTCTTTCATATATCATAAGTTAGGGATTTTACAATCGTTCTTTTCTCACTCGTACGAAATAGGAGGAATCTAGAGCAGCAGCTTTCAAATGATTTCAAATGAACGTTAAAATCTACGCTATATAAATGCAATGTTCAAATTTTAGGGCACAGGCTGCAAATCATCTCGGGAACATAAAGACTCTTGCTTTGTTAATGTTGTTGTTGTTGTTGTTCGTTTTCATTTGTTGCTTACAGGACTGTCTAGGACTTGGTGTGGATCACCCAATTCCTTTCGCCCTAATCATACTCGCGGTTAACAAATCGATACTGAACGACTCAACTGGTTTCCACTTCATCGTTCTGGTCAGTAATGTTAGTAAGCGCAATTCTGACCTAATAAGGCTAAAAGCATGATTTTCCAACGTAAGCATACGACCACCAACAGATCAACCAAGCCCCGTCCACACTACGCCGGAGAAATAGGCCCTTTGCACGATCCCACTTAACGTGACGTCATCGTTTTCGAAAAGCTCCGTTTTCGTGACGGATTAGTCGGGACGGTAGGCCTAAGCGTAGAAATAAAGATGCGTTTTCAAATTTCTCCGGCGTAGTGTGAACTATATAAACAATAGCATCCATTTGGGGCGAAAATATCCTCGGATATTTGTCCGCGGACATTATCTGTGCCGAGAACCGAACAGTTCACGAAATGTGAGCTTTGAGGAACAGATAATGCCCAAGGACAAATATCCGAGCATATTTTTGCGCAAATGGAGGCTATTGTGCTTATTATTCTTCAATCGTGTTTCGCAACACGCGCGGTTTCAAAATTGGGGAATCTCACTTGGATCTTCCTTAGTTTTAGCCGGGAAATGTTCGGTCACGTGATGCAGTTTAGACTAATCCCGCGTGAGCGAAAATATTTGATGAATTATATTAAACCTAAATATGAACAGCAATAATGATAACACTTCTAATTTAAGACAATTTAAGACTCAAGCTGCGTGAAGATCATGATCTTAATTTAAGGGAAAAAAAAAGAAAAAAAAACCCTCCATCTGGGAACGTTGTTAGATTATTCAATGCATGATATGATTGGCGGCTCAAGCCAAACAATCCCGCCTTCATCATAATAGAAATAGAAACGAGTTCTAATGATGACACGCAGGTGGTGAATAGTATCTGACAAAAGCAAACACTCTTTCTTTTTTATAAAAGTATCGAGGCTGAAATTTGAGAAATTTTAAGAATATTTGAAGAATAACCCCAAGGCTGAGATCTTGGAAAGAATATAATTTTTTGTGTTGAAGATTTGTAAATAAAATTCACTTATTTGTTTTTAACTAAACTGTACAAAAATTTTTCCCTTCCTAAACAATAAAACCAGCTAAAAAAAAGACAACAAACAAACAACAACAACAACAAAAAACAGCATTTAGCTGTATGCGAAAACTAATAACATTTCTGCAGTCTTTATTGCAGTCATTGCCTGGAGTCTGGCTCCAAATTTACTTAACACAACACCAAAGTCAAATTAGAGGAGATAATCTGACTTTGTGTCAGTATAATCCACCTTGTATTCCTATAATCTAAGAATATTCACAAGAATATTTTCGACCTAAAATTAGCAGAGAAATAAGAATATTCAGCCTTGGACGTCAACAATATTCTTATAAAAAAGAGTGAATATGAAAAAGAAAATGAATTTAAATAATGCCACGATCAGCAAACTCGAGCACAGCGATAAACGGAACACAGCTATCGAACTGCCTCGGCAATCCAGAAGCAGGAAAAAAAAAAAAAAAAAAAANGTTTTTTTTTTTTTTTTCGCTTGATGGAAATACGTTAATCGGAATAAGCCGCTTTATTTGGCTAAAATCGTTTACCGTTGCGTCTTTGCAAAGCTCGATATGACCAGAAAGTAATTCGGGCCCTTGCAGCTCACAGTCAACTGTGTCATTTTTTCACTTCAAACTGAAAGTCGTTGTGTGATGAGATAAAAAACACAACGAAGCAACATAATAATAATAATAATTATTGTTATTTTGAAATAACTCTTTTTAAATCGTGGCGAGAAATTATAGCTTTCGCACGTATAAAAGGTAATTTTAAAACGGAAGAAACATAGAAAACTGTTAATTGGGAAAACGAGAACACCGAGTTATCGACAGACTTGCTTTTATTCAGTACATGTATGTCGTTGCTAATAAACTGAAGTCATCGATGTTTGAAAGTGGTATGACAAAAAAATATATACATTAATAAAATCCTGAAGTGGGGAAAAAAGCAACGGTGCACGGCAGGTGATTAATTTCAACTTGAATTGTTAGCTCTAGCTTGTTTAAACAGAAGAACTCTAGACCTATCTTTCCAACCATCCACCTCGTCAAACGATTTAAATATTCCGCTTCAGTGGAAGTTTTTAAAAAGTTATATTAAAAAGGGCAAGCGTAATAGAATGGCCGTGGAAAGATATTAACCTACGTAATACCATATCATCTTTCTGTTTTATTGGTACTTCATTTTACAAATATAAAACTATGGAATGTTCAAATCTACAACTGAAACATGAAAGTAAGGTTAAAAACCGTTCCCTAGAATTTTTCCAATGAATAAATTATAATAAGTAAGTACCTTAAATTTGAGTGAATACACATGACAATATTCTGTTTCTAATGTTTGCTTTGCAGATGAACGATAATTATCTTGGAAACTTTCACTTAATTGTCTTTCTCGGATGCTTTTTTAATGTAAATTTGTTACCAAATCTAATTTTTTACAAATTTTCAGTTCCATGTTTTAATCTTTTGTTATTCAATTTTTTTAACTTTTACATACACTCATCTTGCAGTCGTTTTCTGACCGCATTGGGTGACGCAGAATTAGAATTCAGAATCATCAAATTAAGAAGGAAACTTTGTTTGATAAGACGGACCAGAAGCCTTGTTTTTCTTGCCATATAACATTTTTTCACGATCTGATATTCCAACCATGCAATACAATACAAATAGAGTCCAATAAAGACATTTTATCTGATAGCTTTTAGATTGTGGCTATTCCCTACGACATCACTTGCCCCTAACTTGGTCAGCTGGATTATATGCTGCTTGTTTCTTACGAATAGAGCATCGATATCATAAGCCTACTTAAAATAATTCCTAAGAGTAATCTTAGACTATATATTGGTAGATTACTTTACGAACCAACTGGTGCTACTTCATTACTTGTTTGCAGGGACGAAAAACAACTGAACAGGCTCTTAAGACCTTGGCGGTAATTTCGACTAAAAATTAAACAGATGCAAGGGTTAATAGCACAATTTGCGCGCGCGGCGATCAGCACAATAAAAAAATAATGTATGGTGCTACAGGACACTTTTGCTACTAAGATAAAAATAGTAAATGGCACCCAACATAATGCAAAACTTAATACAATAGCAACGACCATTTTTAACAGGTTTCTTTCCCTTTTCTCTCGTTGCTGTGCAGCGTTGATCGAATGCTCGCCTGGAGTCGGCTGTGACTTAAGCTTCAAAACAATAATGAAGTAAAGTATAGTCATTAGAACCAAAGGGGTATAAAGGAATACAACAAATATTGCCAAAGCGTAATTTGCAAGGGACGAGGACTCTCCAAAGGCTCCACTCCAAACCCGTGCACAAACTAGCTTCCCAGGGTATCCAACAAGTCTGAAGGCGAAGAGATGTGGGGACTGGATAGCCATCGCGATGATCCAAGTGACGGGAATGAAGAAGAGGCAAAGTTTANTCCAACCATGCAATACAATACAAATAGAGTCCAATAAAGACATTTTATCTGATAGCTTTTAGATTGTGGCCATTCCTTACAAATTCACCGGCCCCTAACTTGGTCAGCTGGATTATATGCTGCTTGTTTCTTACGAATATAGTATCGATATCATAAGCCTGCTTAAAATAATTCCTAAGAGTGATCTTAGACTATATATTGGTAGATTACTTTACGAACCAATTGGTGCTACTTCATTACTTGTTTGCGGGGACGAAAAACAACTGAACAGGCTCTTAAGACCTTGGCGGTACTTTCGACTAAAAATTAAACAAATCCAAGGGTTAATAGCACAATTTGCGCGAGCGACGATCTGTGCAATAAAAAAATAATGTATAGCGCTACAAGTCACTTTTCCTACTAAGACAAAAATAGTGAATGGCACCCAACATAATGCAAAACTAAACAAAATAGCAATGACCATTTTTGACAGGTTTCTTTCCCTTTTCTCTCGTTGCCGTGCAGCGTTGATCGAATGCTCGCCTGGCGTCGGCTGTGACTTGAGCTTCAGGACAATAATAGAGTAAAGTGCAGTCGTTAAAACTAAAGGGATATAAAGGAACACAACAAATATTGCCAAAATGTAATTTGCAAAGGACGAGGACTCTCCAAAGGCTCCACTCCAGTCCCGTGCACACACCAGCTTCCCAGGGTATCCAACAAGTCTGAAAGTGAAGAGATATGGGGACTGGACAGCCATCGAGATGATCCAAGTGACGGGAATGAAGAAGAGGCAAAGTTTAGGGTTGATGAGCGGAGAACGGAGGGGAAATACCACAGCTCCAAATCGATCTACCGCTATCAGCATTAGGCTCTGAGTAGAAACCGTTGCGGAGACATCAGAAACGAAGATATGCAGCTTACACAAGACCTGACCAAGAGGTCCGCTTATCAGCCAGGAGTCGACATACAATTCTGCTACAACCTTCGGGAACAGGAAAATCGGTAACAGCAGATCGGACATGGCCATGTTTACTAGCAGAAAGTTGGTGCTTGTTCTCATTGTTTTTGTCTTGTAGACGATTATTCCGATTAAAGTATTCCCAACCAACGAAACAATGAATATCAGGCAGTAAGCGAAGGTTTTTCCAATTCTCCCTGCTGCAAGATCGCTGAAGCAGCTCGCTGGCTGATCATGAGTTCCATTCATTGTTGCCCGAGTTTACTGATATCCGTATGTTTACTATCTTGCTCATTCAATGTTCTCTCAGATGCTATTTTGTTGGGCATAAAACACTGGTCTATTTATATTGGATGAAGGCGGGATTTAACTGGCTCAGAGACGTGACGTGATAACGTTTTAGATGATAAAAATGTTAATTGGTCACGAATGTTCTCAATGTAGTTTGTGCTCCATACTGTCTTAGTAACCTTTTTAAAAAAATCATCATCATCATTATTATTATTATTATTATTATTATTATTATTATTTTCATATTTTGTATTTCTGTTGGTAATATGGTGATCCTAAGATCGAATATCCTGGTTTAAGCTTTATTTTTGTCATGCAAATTAATATTACGAACCGAACGAATTAGCTGTCGTGTCATTTTATCCAACGTCAACGGCAGCCCTCATAATTACGGCGTCGTCGACTGAATCTCATTCGAAATGGCAGTCAATGTTGAAGATATTTTCAAGTCTCGCTTTGAAATGGTTGTTTGAAAACTTGGCAATATTTCTTTTCCACTCTTTCATTTTTAACGGAATGACCGATTTACTTTAGGAGAGAGAGAAGGCGATGGGAAGCGAAGCATTAATATTCTATGAGATTACAGACTACTGCGTAGGTAGACTTATGGTGATTTCCTGTTCAATGACACAGGCATGACGGGCAAACTGTCCTTTTCGGTTGCTTATTTCAGGCATTGAATGACACCTGTCAGATTCGATGATAAGGATTCGTTATCTTGCAAAGATGGTGTGCAGCTTTTGCTCCAAACGGCCTTTTATTCAGGATATCGTAATGGATATGCTGTGGAACAGTGTTCCGCCGTCGCCGGACGTAAACAGGAAGAAATTAGAACAACAGCTTTAGCTCCCTGAAAAACAATTTTTATATGAGCAATAATTTCTCATTAAGGTGACCTCAAAAGTCATTCCTCAGTTTTGAGGTTAAGTTTAAAAAAAAAAAAATAATAATGAATTTTAAAAAAGTGCAATTGATCCATATAAATGTGATATTTGTACATTGGATTCAACAAATAAAAAAGCCTCGACTGTGCTTTGTACTGTTCTAAAGCACGCAGGAGGCGGTAGAGTTCTACAGCTTCCTAAGTGGGCTAACTCTTTCTTTTATGATAAAGAATCCATCAATTTCACCACACATTCAGCTTATATTTTCAAACCAAACTATATTTCGATAAGAGGACAGTGCCGTCATTGTTCATATATTTGTACCAGGCTCTGGTACAAACATTACGTGACTAAACATTTTAGAAATTACCAGAAACTTAGTATTTACAATTGTTCTCCATAACAGAACCGTATCGTCTTTCTGCTTTATTGGTGCATCTTTCACAAATATATAACTATGGAATCTTCAAAACAACCGGTCTGTAAATCTACCACTGAACGAACTGAACGTCGACTACAAGATTCTCGCTAAAGTTATAGCCAAGAGAATTGAAAAAGTCTTGCCAACGTTAACAAACCCCGATAAAACTGGTTAGGCCGCTACATTGCTGAAAATGTAAGGCTAATCTACGACTTAATACATTACGCAGATAAGTTAAATCAAAAAGGTATTGCCATTTTCTTGGACTTCAAAAAAGCGTTCGATTCCATTGAATGGAACTATCTCTTAGAAACACGTTAGCTCTTCAACTTCGGCCATGACATTCAAAATTGGATAAAATTTTTTTATAATAATGTTACCAGCTGTGTTCTGAATAACGGTCATGCTTCAACTTTTTTCCCCCTACAGAGGGAGTCAGACAAGGTTGTCCGTTGTCTGGCGTCTTCTTCGTTCTCGACAGAGAACTCCTCCCTAGATCCATAAAAAATGATCCCACTATTAAAGGTATCCAAGCCAACAAGCATGAGCTTAAAATAAGTCAATATGCCGACAACACAACATTATTTCTTCGTGACCTCGACTCCGTTACGAGTCTATTGAGGATGTTAAATGATTTCAAAGGGCATTCGGGTCTAGAAATAAACACCACTAAAACCGAAGCAATATGGTTAGGTCAATGGAAAGACAGAACAGATGAACCTTTTGGTTTTAAATGGCCAAAAGAACCTATCAACGCCCTTGGTGTCTTCTTTTCTTACAAACAAGAAAGTGCTAACAGACTGAACTTCGGTGAAAAAAATACTTAACCTCGAGAAAACGCTAAACACAACTCTTTATGGAAAGATTAACATAGTCAAAACACTTGGGATATCTAAATTAATTTACTCAGCTTCCGTGCTTCCTCTTCCAGATCACTACATCCAAGACTAAAATAAACAAGCTAATTTTCAACTTTATTTGGGCAGGGAAGCCCTCTATAATCAAAAGAAACACCATAATTGGAGAAAAGAAAAACGGCGGATTGAAAATGTGTGATTTTAAGATCGTGGAAAAAGCGCTTAAAATAACTTGGGTCAACAGAATACAAGACGAGTCACAAACCTCCTGAAAAATAATTTCTAGCCTAGCTAGCTAGCTAGCTCTTGCACAAACATGGTGGTCTTGCCTTCCTAACAAAATGCAACTTTCCAGCAAGTATATTTGACCTTGATGATGCGCTTCTCACATTTTATAAAAAAATG